TCCATGGGGTGTAGGCAGTCATCTGCTCCACCGCCCATGGGCTGCAGGGGGACAGCCTGCCTCACCGTGGTCTTCACCACAGGCCACCGGCACCTGCAGCACCTCCTCCCCCTCCTTCTTCACTGGCCTTGGCATCTGCAGAAAATGTTTTCTCTCGCATATCCTCACTCCTCTCTCTTGCTGCAATTGCTGCTGCACGATAACTTTTCCCCTTCTTAAACACGTTATCCCAGGGGTGCTACCACCATCGCTGATGGGCTCAGCCTTGGCCAGCGGCGGGGAGGCGTTACAGCACACTGGCTGTATGAGACATAGGGGAAACTTCTAGCAGCTTCTCACAAAAGCCATCCCTGTAACGCCCTTGCTACCAAAACCTTGCCATGCCAACCCATTACAGCCCCCAGGAGTTAAACAGAGGTTTTACTCAATTTTTTTTCATCAGTTTTTGACATTTCTGCTACTTTGTGGCAAGCATGACAGTAGCTATAATGCTGGCTTTCCAGAGAACAGTCCCAAGATATTTTGATCCTTTATAAAGCATCATTTGCTGGGAAAAGGTTGTCTGAGCATTAAAAAAAAAAAAAAAAAAAAAAAAAGCCACTAGCAGCAAATTGATACACAATTGTCTGCTGCAAGAGTTCCCTGTAGGTCTTTCCTCCTTTGCTTTCAAGGACTGAAAAGAGTAGGTAGAGCCACATTTCACACTGCATTCCACATTGAAGAATGGCTTTTCTGAAAAAGTTCAGCACTGCCGCCTTCTTTGTTTGGCAAGCAGACACAGAAGGAATAACCCAATACCAGAAGGGAGGGTGGCTACAGTGGTTTCTTGCAAACTTTACTACGTCAGGATCACACATAGAAACTCTCCTTGCTCAAAAGACAACAGTAACTACCTTGTTAGGTAATATCCATACAATGCCTCTTTCATAATTGTGTTTACTATAAGTAGCCATCAGGATTTGTATTTTGAGACTCTTATTTGCAGCGGTAACTATTTTATTCCATGAGTAGTCCCCTCTATTTCAGAAGAACTGGCAGAACCTTTTCAAAGTTAGAATAATGTAATTTTTTTCCTAAAAATCTACACCACTGCGTTTACGACATGTACAATAGAGACCAGGAAGGAATCAGTAGGATTCTTCCTAGTATTCCCTCAGTCTCTTGGTAGTCATGTTGGAACAGCTCTTCACTTGACACTCAGCTCTTTCATAAAAATATTACAAGTCATATACGGATTTGGCTTAAACAGATGCACTGAGGTTCAGCACCAGGCTCAGCCACCTAAATTTAGGTGTCCACTGATACATGTCTGCATTGACTTTAGTCTTCTGAGCTCCCGTTATAGCCATGGAGGTCTGTCAGCCCGAGGTGGTTCAGTTCAGCCCATTATGCCCTCTGTATTCTGTAACAGAGCTGCATTATGCGGTGGCTCCTGCGCTGTGGTCCAGAAGCGCTCGGTTTAGATGCATCCACCAATAGCGGTATTATCACAAGTTCGTGTTTCTTGAGGGAGGAGAAGGGAATACTATAATACTTTTTCCTCTTATGTTTTACAGAGTCATTTGTTGTCTCAAATAGAGAACTTTGTGATGAAGAGAAAGAGCTGGTACATTTCCCAGTATGTGAAGGAACCTCCCAACCTGAGCCTTCGTGTTCTGATGTCAGAATAGCAGCAGATAAGAACTACAGAAGTAAAGCATCTCAGGAAAGTGCTCTGAAAAAGATGCATGAGGAAGAACATCACCAGCAAATGTCAATTTTGCAACTGCAGTTGATCCAAATGAATGAAGTGCATGTGGCAAAAATACAGCAAATCGAAAGAGAGTGTGAGATGGCTGAAGAAGAACACAGGATAAAAATGGAAGTGCTAAATAAAAAGAAAATGTATTGGGAGAGAAAACTGCAGACCATCACAAAGGAATGGCCTGTATCATCCTTTAACAGACCCTTTCCTAATTCACCTTAGAACACGGAGGGGCAGAGAGTCAATCTGAGCACATGTATGGATAACGCACACTGGAAAGAGGGTTTTTTAATGTGAATGTACAGTGACGGGATAGGTGCCTGCGTGATAGTGAACACACTTTGACTCTTAATGTTTAGGGAAACAGTGGTAGAGTCCACTGAGGGGAAAACTGTATTGTTCATTCTGTAGGTAGTTCTGATTTGTTTAACTCTCGGACATGCGCAGTGTTCTAAAATGTGAACGTGGTTTCCCCTCTCAGAATACCCTAACATCCTTTCAAAATTCAAGGTACTCGGGGTGTTCTTACATTGGGTGTCCTTAAGAAAACTCAACAGCTTTGGACATCAGGTTAGAGTGTTTATTTTGATTTCTGTCTCCTCCTATCTACCATCCCTTAATGTGTTTAAAGGTCGTTTAGATGTGGTGCTTGGCGATATGGTTTAGGGCTGTACTTGGTAGAGTAGGGTTGATGGTTGGACTTGATGATCTCAAAGGTCTTTTCCAACCCGAATGATTGTATGATTCTGTGATTCTGTTGCCCAAATGAAGGCAAGGGGAGGAGTTGCTCTCTGCTATTGAGACAAAAGCTGATTGACAGGTATTTGTGGGATTGTTATGCTGGGGCTTAGGAAAAAAAAAACCAACCCTGTCTCTGGTTAATACAGTTCATAACTTATTTTTCATAGAAGATGTGAAAATGAAGGACGTAGCAAAAGCACCACTGTGGTCACTGAGCCCTTCGCGTATGAAGAACAGTCATGTTTGCCAGCTGCCTGGCTGATTGAGAGAATGGTTGTGGACTGGCCCTCCAGTTGTTTGAGCCTTGACCTTTAAGAAGTCGGAAAGAAGGTGACTTCTTCCTCAAAAGCCATTATGCTTGTCCTTTCTTTTCCAGGCCCATCTTGTATTGGAGCAGAATACCAAAACAGGGGGGGTCGCATGCTGCTGCTGGGCTGTGTGCTGCTCACCTGGAGTCATTCCGAGGGGAAGAGCTTTTCAACGATTTGCCAAGCTCTCAAAATGTAGCGAGCCAGCCAGTCCACTGGCAAAGTCTCCCCCTGTCTCCCTGTGCAATACTTGATGATGTAGCAGCTAGCTGGAGTATTTCAGCCTCTCCCTAGCTAGAAGAAAAGACTGAGACTCACCCTCTTTTCCTTCACGTAGGGTGGGATGCAGTTCAAGGGAATCATTCCTGTCTTGGAGCACTGTTCTGTTTTGTTCTGTCCTGTGTGTTACGGTGGTGTGTTTCTTGCCTTTGCCGTCAGTGAGGGGTGATGGACGTGATTTGTGTGAACGGATTCACATGAAGGTCCCCCCAGGGTTTGGGGGTCCAGAACAGTAGATGGTAGGAAAGCACAAATAAAGATAATCCTTCCCCAGGCAATCGTTCAGTCTGGTGGGGCAAGGGTTAAGAAAACATGACCTACAGAACTCCGCAAAGATTCTTAAGAACTTCTGATGTGTGAAAAGCTGTTTCACAGGAAGGTGTACAGCCGTCATTTGAGGCACTGAAAAAAATGAACAAAAATATAAATTTCCGTTGAAAAACCTGAGTATCGCATTATTCAATAAAGTATTTTCAGATCGCGATTTGTGAGGGCAAGTCCCTACCGTGAGCAGCGTGTTCAAATTCGAGCATGTTACAAAACGTACATTCCCAGTCACGCTCCCACCTCTTCCCTGGATGTTCCTTCTGGTGGAGTGAGTTTCTTCTGGTTTTGTTTTGGTTTGAGGTTTTTTCGTGTGTTTCTTGTTCTTGAGCTGCTTTCCCTGCTGATGATTCATCTGTGCAAGCGCTGCCCTTCTCAGCCGCAGTCCTCGCTGCGGTTCACGCCGTGGTACACGCGTTGCTCCCTTCAACGTGCTAACACCAGCGATCGCGATGGGAGTGAGTTGTTACAACTTACATGACAGCGACAAAAAATTCGCAGAGCTGCTGCAAGATCAAAAAAAAAATAGGCCGTGGATGAAATCTGAAGACAGATCTTTTTGAAAGCAAACTCAATTTTCTTCTAAATTGGCTGTATGAAGGAAGCACAGGACTTCCAAAGAAGGATATCATTATGGACGCTTTT